CCGGCTCAAAAAGGTTGCCTACCCCTGGGATGGAGCCATAGCAATTCAAGTGGAAGAAAAGTGCTATAATTGTGCAGTGTGAATGCACCTCTTGATTAAGATTGTGACACAAAGGCCTAGTCACTTTCAACACTTTTCAACGATTTTGGAATGAAAACACAGCCTCTTATCATCCATCCTTTCCCAAGCAATCCTCTAGAGTCTAGACCAGGGTGGGCAATTTCTTTCCTAATATGCCAAGTAGTCAAACCATATTTGTGTCCATTGGCTACAACCATTTTTTTGCTTTCCTGGAAACTTTCTATGGGCTGGCAGTTGATGCTGCACTGACAAGGACTGTGCATTTAGACAGCTCTATCATATACTGGATCTGAATGGAAAGCAAACAATCCCAAACAGCCAGGTGCTGGCAACTAAAATACAGTGATTGGGATGGGCTTGGGGGATTTCTGAAAGCGAAAGAGCAGAGCCAAGCAATCCTGGCATGTAAGAATTTGGCTGGAATTCACGGAAGGATTCCCCCCCTTTCTTTCTGGAGCAATTTCAGTTGGACTCAAGCCATTTGCAAAATGTTTGCCATGTGAATCTATTTTAGCATCTTTTGAAAAATATATTTTAGAAGAGTCTTGCTGTGGTACCTTTAACAGTTTTATTTTTGCATGAGTTTGTATGTTTTAAGAAATGTTTCTTCAATTGCATAGAATACAATATTCAAGGCCTGGTATGCATGCATAGCATATGCAAAAGTACATTTGAAGTGTAAGGTCCCGGGGCCAATTTCTACTCCACACCCTTCCCTGGACCAGAACAAGTCCTAATCCTCCATTTTCCTCTGCAGTCTCTCTTAAAATGGTGAGAGGAAGTGACATTGCATCACTTCTTGTCACCATTTTGAGAAGGATGGCAGAGGAAAATGAAGGCATTTGGGGGAGTGCAGGATTTTAGAGTGGTGGTGGTGGTGTGTGTGTGTTTTCACATGTTTGGGGAGCTCTCTGCATGATTTCAGGGGACAAATGTGACCCCAAGACTAGGCTGAACCTTTAAAAAAAATCTGGGGTGTGGGCTTCAGGGTCCACGAACGTGTTTCGAGGTTACATGTGACCCACAGACCTCACTATAGTTGGCCCTTCAGATCCACGGATTACTTTTTTATCCACAAATTCAACCATCCACAGCTTGAAAATATTTTTTAAAATATAAATTCCAATAAGCAAACCTTGATTTTACCATTTTATATAAGAGACACCATTTTACTATTCCAGTGTATTTAATGGGAATTGAGCATCCATGGATTTTGGTATCCATGGGATCCTGGAACCAAATCCCAGCAGATATCGAGGTCCCACTGCTTTAAAGTCTGGAGAGGTAAAGAATTTACTTGGGGAACTGAGAAACCATGTGTTTGATTGACAGTCCAGGGGTTGAGAGCCAGGGGATCAATCAGAAGCCGGAGATCAGGACCCCACAGGGAGGCATGCAAAAGAGTATTTCAGGATGC